CCACTAGGGGTCTCTCCTGAGCCATTTCTGCTTTTAGGCAGGGCACCTGAGTGCTCTGTGACACCTGTTTAAAACACTGATGTGAAACATTTGATGTAGAATTAACAAGCTCAAGCTTCTTAGACTAAGTTTCGAATGGCTTCCAAAGGCCCATGACACTGGCTGGGAATTGACAGGCTCTCGCATGCTTTATCCTTGTGCTCCCAAAAACATCTGGAGGTTCTTCCTTTGTAGGGGTCTGGCCATAGCTATAGAAGTCCTGATGCATGGCCTTTGTGCCAGGCAAAGATTTCCCCATGCTTGGGAAATCCTCAGTCACTCCATTCAGACAATTTTGAGTCCTCTTTTCATTTCTGGAATGGCACAAGGAGAGTTTAATGTGAACCAATATCTCATCTGGCCCAAAAAGTATGTTGAGGTCCTTGTATATATAGTCCTTGATCCACTGAGGCAAATTACATTTTCCACAAGCTTAAAAGTTGCCTCTGAATGTGCTTCTTTAAACGCTGACCTTCAGCCTTGTGCAACAGAAGTCAGACTATAGTAAAAGTGTTCAGTATACACACAGTGGTACAGTTTTATGGCTGGTCCTCACCGTCCTAGTACTATACAACACTAAACGTAATGGGGAAGTACTACAATTATACTTTATAAAGATAGAATATCATTCATATATTAAAGAAAAGAATACTTGTATGTCCTCTTTGATAAGTCTGGTGCTTATAACTATAGTTTAATAGTTGAAATTAAGAACCAAATGTAATGGTCTCTGTAGTTTCTGAAATTTAAAATAACACATTTTTCTTACCACAGCTTTTACTGTTTAAGGAAAAAATAAAATACAGTTATAAGCCGCAGAAAAGTAGAATTCAAAGCCAAAGACATTTTCAATCCATTATTTATTTTACCAAGCCTTTATGGAATGAACTGGGGGATGAGGGTCTGTCTTTTGTTTGCTTCCCCTTTTTATCCTTTTCAATAAGATAAATAATTCTTATCGTGTAGTAAAATGTCTTGTTTGATATCTTTCACTTCTTCCTGCACTGCTTAATAACAATTTTTCCTATTGTTTCCAGCTGCCTCAAGAATAATCATTGTATACGTTTTCTCCAAAATATCTTTTCAGCTTGTAGATATTCTACTTACAATGAACAATTAAATAGTATAGAAGTCTGCAGTCTAGTGCAGTGGTTCATAACCCTTTTAGACTCAAGGCATCCCATATTATACTCCAGGCTCACATTGGAAAATGCCAGTTCTTACCTTTCATCATTTTTTGACTACAGAAAAATAATAGAGCAACTGTTTTGTTGCAAAACACTCGCAAAGACCACAACAGATCAAAATGCTTATGGATTCCTATTTGAATCTCTGGGTTTATCTTGTGAATTGTGTAGGTGTTTGCTAATTTTGAACCACACCCTTAAAATGATCTCATGGTTGAGAATCACTGCTCTAGCAAATGTAGAAAATTCAGACTCCTGTACGTGCCTTGTCAATATAAAAGACACTTCTAAATCCTAGATGGCTTTGCCATTTTTTTAATTAATGTGGACAGTCAATGATGCAACAAATCAATCCAAACAAAACTACATATCTATTTTGATTTTAGATTTTGGCACTATTTCCCTGAAGGCAACTACATTTGTAAAGATAATGATTGCTATCAGTCATCTGTTACTTTGTGAAAACATGTATGAGTATTTGTAATAAATAAATTAATAACCATTGGTAGGTTACGCACCATCAGGCAATACTCATTTGTCATTCATTGAGAAGCAAGGTTCTCATAACGGTTTTACATTTAGTACTGCTCTGCCAGGTAATTTATCTAGTGGTACTCAATTAAGTGTGTAACAGCTTTGGGTATATTTAGGTAAGTAAACTAAAAATGTTCTGTATTAAATTCCACATGACTTTTCTATGATGATGTAGGAAAAAAACAGCTACCCCATTGTTAAATTTAACCTTTTAATTTCCCAGTGAAAGGCTAATGAATTCCACAAATATTGTGATATGAGTTTTATGGCACCCAGTGTATGAACTTCAGCTGAAAACATGCCAAGACTCAGGTGGTATATTCTATCTGATATTGCCACAGGGACTTTTGGGATCACAAAAATGGAGGTCTGTTTATGAGTTTTGATGAGATTGTAGTATTATGTAGTATGTCTGCAGGCCATTAGAAAGGAAACAAATAACCAAAATCAGAGAGCCATTGTCATAAAATCTCAATCTTCCTTAGTTGGCTCAAAAGTGAATAGCTGCTTTCCCCTGATTTGGAGGAACACATTTCATTCTGATTAAAATGTCCTGTGTGATGCTGTATGGAATATGTTTGCTTAATTCATATGAAAGAAAGTAAAAGCTTCAGATCACACATTTTTCCTTACATTTCTATGACACAGTTCATTTTCTCATCTTTGAGTTGTAATGTTGTATCTCCTTTTTTCCCCTTTTTCCTCTTCTGGCAGGATGACAAGGATTTGGTTCATGAGTTTGTTGTGGCTGAGGGCTTGACTTGCTTGATAAAAGTGGGAGCTGAGGCTGACCAGAACTACCAAA